TAGGTTGAAAATGTCTTTTTTGCTGGGCTATCAAGCTAATTGAAATTGCCAGTGTAGGATTTTTTACTCTAATTTGCTGTTGGATCCTCTGGAAGATCCGTGATTCGTTCCAAGTCGAAGAAATTCCATAGGAACGAGCCTAACCACGGCTCCGATCTACCTAGTACCATAAGCTTTCGCGCTTTGGAATCGTACGAGGTTCGAATGTCCGATGTGCTTCTATTAAGTTTCTTCAATTTCGAGTGGTCTCCATAGAATCCACCGAGTCGAGGACAGATTCTACGGTCTCTATAGAGGATCGGAACACCTCCATGGTCCCACGAGCCTTCAAAGGTCTCTGCCAGATCTCTCGGATCTGAATACCTTCGGTCCAAAATCGTTCCATCGACTACTATCGCGCGTCTCTTTGATCTAGATTAATCCTTGGATCCTTTTTTTGCGCGAAGAAATATTTATTTACCTCTTACGTACCAATCCCAGAACCGATCTACATCTACATATTCTTGACTGTCGCTAAAGACTTTTTGCATGGTAGTTTCAACAATGACCTACGTAGAAATAAATTGTTGACACTATGCCGTCCGGTGGCACCACGCTGGTGCCATGCAAAAACTATCTGTTGTATAATAATATATATATATATATATATATATATATATATATATATAATATGATATATAATATATATAATATATATATATAATATATAAAAAATATATAATAAAATGGTACCACTTTGGTGCCATTTCGAAAAACTGAAATAACATTTGAACTACATTTCTTGGGTGTTAAAAGGCAGCAAACTAACTATAGCATTGTGCTTATTTAACTAACAATTAAGTACGAAAATTCTTGGACGACTTATCTTAATTTTAGGAATTTATATTACCGCCATCTTCGATATTTTTATTAAAATCTAACATTTCCAAGCTATTATGTCGGCGTCAAACGAAAGAATCATATCTAAGATCTGCGGACGGTATAGTGTTAATATCAAATTTGAACATCGTTTTTTTTCTGCATCGAACATTAGACCATCGATCATCCTAATTTTTGTTCTCGTTCGTCTAAACGATCGTTATCGATGATGATACGAAAATGAATTCCAGAAAACGATACAGTTATCTGCAGCGTGAACATTCGAAACAACCGGTAATACGTTTGATTAATTTCAAACGCGATTCGTTAAACTTCTCAACAGAAAAACAACTCGGAGAGGAAGGATAAAGATAATGAAAAATTCGATTAGATCTGTATCCAGCACACGAGAGATTAAGACTCTACATTCCTGGATAGATTGTCCCGAGTCTTACAAGTCGACATAAGTAACCTGTCTCCGACACTTTAAAACCATATCGGATCATTGTTATCGCTGCACGATCATAATCTATCGATAGATTATTATTTTAATACAGATAACAGATGAAAGAGATGTTTACACCCCGGTGTTTCTAATTCCGATAAAGATAAAGCACTTGTCTCGGTGTTCAATGATTTTCTAGAATATTCTGACGTTTCTGTTATCTTCGATAGCTACCGCCTGTATACGGAGAACTATCTTAACCGAATTTTTTATCTCGTCGATCGTATCAACGCACAGAGAGGGCCACGCAAAAACCGCGTTAATCGCCGAACGGCACACGAGAGCCAGCGAACGGAAATCCAGTCGAGGTTATTATTATTACATCGCGTATCGCTTTTTGATATCGAGCGAGGGCTCGATTCACCTCACCCTTTCGTGTGAATCTCATTTACCGATTGATAGAAACGTGCTTCCGTTCCGACGGCTTTTCATCTCTATAAAAGTCGTCGGCGAATCAGAATGATCCCATAATTATTTCAACGTCTATTTCGATAAAGCCGATCAAAGTTTCAATAAAAACACCTGTTGCGTTCGAGAGTGCAAGAATCGAGTACACGATATGCAATTTGGAAGCTCTTAACAGGTTCGCTACTCCCATTTCCAGATTATCGGCAATACTTTTCTCGTGAAACGTTTAGAAATTGTTGCTGAAATCGATTGCTTCCTGCGTCCGTTTCTTTCTTTCTTTTGCCACAAGCTGCGATAGCGAACGTATTAATTAGAGCTGCCACGTTAACTCGCAGAGGAGATCATAGTTCGCGAAATATGCGAATGGTCTTTACGTACAATGTGTCTTCTATAATCGATGAGAACTTGAAGGAAATGCTTCAACCATTTATAACTGTTGCCGATAAGTCAAACGCAGTTTCATTTTCAAATAAATTTTCTTCCAACTATGTTTCTTTCGGTGTGCACACCGAAACCGATTTCTGTGCAAATTTCATCGATGAAATTAGATATATATTTTAATGTAAGTTTCAGTAGAAAATTTGTTCCGATCATGAACGCTTCTTAACACGTTCCGTGCCACGTGTACCATCGATGGTACACGCTTGCATGTTTACTTAGTGAACTGAACAAATTGTTTACAAGAAATTTAGAACCGAAGAATCAATTTCCACCGCAAGAATGGGCGTTGATAAGTTTTTGTTACGTTGTTATGTGTACGAGAATTAATAATTGCACGTAATACATCAAGTTTTAGTCAAATATCAAAGTGTGAAGATTCGAGTAAAAAAAGCTCGGCACGGAACGTGTTAACCGTTTGCGTACCACGAGCCACTTTTGCGCTCTTCAGATTTTGTGTCGAGAAAAGCCAGGGCATTTGGCCGAAACAGACGACTTACGGCCCACCCGAAATTTGTCGAAACGTGCTCAGTCTTTCAGACGCATGTATACGTCGCGCGTCGCATCGCTGTCAGTAATCCAATTTGCATTTTGTTGTTACCTATTCTAAATTAATAGTATATATATTTTCATTCATAACGTTTTATTTTATGTTTTACGGCCTTTTTCGACACATAATCGAAGGAGCGCTATTGCACTCTTCGGCGCTTCTCGATCCTGTTTTTCCAGAACCATCTGGTACGCAAACGGTTAAGAAACCAATTGTAGCCGTTAGTGCTAAAGTAGCGTGAATAAAGAAAGTCGATTTGGAGAGTAATTCGGAATGAAATAAAAGTTTTCAAATAATATATCGATATCTTGATCTAAACCGCGGTCAAATTATTCCTGAACGATCTTTACTTATTCTGCTGTTCTACCGAGATACAAACGAAGACACATAGTATACTTACACCGCTTCCGTTCTAAGTGGAACGAAGATTTAGCGTTCGAGAGTGGTGTAAAACCAAATTGGCGAAACTTTTTATTACACCGCTTCTGCACTAAATGGCTCATTTGAAGCGTGGTCCCGTTAGAAGTGAACCGATAAAAATCACACGACCAGATTGCTCGAACTTTTGCGAGAGGGTGGCGGAATTATTATACTCCAACAAACAGTTTCCTATTTTGTAAATTTAAGCAATCCAATAAGAATGGAACAGCTGTCCTTGTTGCAACGCTGTAATATATTTTTTTAATAGTAATATTTGAATTTTAAAGTACAGGTTAAGCGCCGTTACATGAACTCGAGACTATATGTATATTCTTAACCCCTTAACGCGCAGAAACGTATTAACACGGGCGTGCAAAACCGGCCAAAATGTGCAGACCCGTATATATACGGTCGGCGTCGCAACTTATGTCGCTAAAATGTTCAGATTCGAATATATGAAAAACAGTACGATGGGTACAAAATTCGATCTGCAATGCGATTCAATATTCACTATAATTATTTATCCACTATTTTTATTGAATTTTTAGTAATTTTTGCATTTTTTTTAAATATTTATTGAAATTAAGGTCCAAATATGTATTTTCTTAGATAACAAAAATTGATCTTTTTTGGTCGGTTTTTTTTTTTTAAATTGTGCATTAAGGGGTTGAAAAAGAAAGAAATAAACTTACACAGGTACAAAACTTACGATTCTTGACATGGACTTGCTCCACCTTTCTTTCAAAAAATGTAATTCATGAATAATAATAATTTCATGAATCGCGCGCGCGCGCGCGCGCGCGTTTGCAGTTGGTGCCACTTTAATTGAAAATCCAAATTAGATTTTCTGATCTATATTACTAATTCCATTTTTTTATAACCTGGTGAATTTAATGTGCGTGTGAAATTGAATTTTGCGACTCGCGCAACAGTTACATTTTTAACAGTTTTTTAAGTAGAAATAAATTTGATGTCAAAATTATTTTAGAACATTAGATGTAGCAATTTTTAGCGATGCCTTAGAGTCGCCGTTCGACTGCAAGGGGTTGATATACACTGCTCAAGAAAATTACAGCATAGAAACATTTTCGATGAAAATCGAGCAACTTTGACGGACGATAATCCCGCGAAAAATAATCGTAGAACGAAGACTTTTTTCTTCCAGTTAAAGAGGAAGGATCAAATTTCGTTCGGCCGCAAACGACATATACGAACAAAATTTTACAAAGTCCGTACATTTCGGCAAACATTATATTTAAATGGTTACAACGACGAGGGTGCGACAGTATTTCAAAGCAGAGGTTTCAAACTATAATTAAAAAAAAAATTATCATCCTACGATGATGTTTTGCGTAAATAATCGTTGCAATCGTTAGTCAAAGTTGGCCAATTTTTATCCGAAATTTTTCTACGCTATACTCTTTTTTTTAACAGTATATCTCGCAGCGTTGCCACATAGAGTATCTCGCAGCGTTGCCAGATAGTATAGCTAATTGATATGTAAAGTAACATTGCTAGTTAATCAAGACCACGAATTCTGCATATTTTGAGGGAAACACGTTCGAGTATAATAATCAGGCCTGTAATATATAATCTAGCCTCTGCAAACGATCCCCTAAGAAACCGATCCTCTGCGAGTTAACGGTAGCCGATCGATTCGTCGACAGCGAAAGCTATCGCTCTATCGTTCTTCTTCGATTTCCGTTCGTCGTGTCCTCGAGAGGATTGGAGGACTCACCTCGAAGACCTCGAGTTCCAGCGTGTCAACCTCGACGCTCATCGTCTATCCTACGCAAACTATAAACCTTCTATAAGGCCAACCTCTTCTTCCTCGTGGCACCTGAGCCGTGCCGACGAGACAATGTCCGCCTCGCCTCTTACATATTTCCACCTGGGTCCCTCCTCTTCTTCGTCCTCGCGAATCATCGCAGGCGCAGGACGGCATTAGCCCGTGGTCTGTACCTTCGTTAGACGGCGACGATCTACGACTGCAGGTCCGGTGATCCTCGGGCAGCGGCAATGTCCTTCGACGGACATCTTCCTTCCGGCGACACCATGAAACCTTCTTTCACCGGTCCCGTATCGTCGTCGCGCTGCGCGACCAGTTCCGCCGCGAGCGTCCAAGCTGTTCGATGGGAACAGCCTCGTCCGCCGGACTCGTTCAACGTCCGAGGACACTCGGACTCGCGGCTACCCTCTTCGACGACCAGCTCCGATCCTGTCACGTGACGATATCGGGGCGATACCGCGAGACTTTCGAGCATTTCAGATCGCCGACGATGGGAAGCATCGCTCGGGGGCTTCTCGCGAGGTTCAAGGGGGTTTCTGAAAAGAAATCGGTCCCGGTCACGCGACAGGGTAAGGCTCCAAATTACCGACTACCCAGTTACACATTAAGCAACATTTTTTTTTGTTCATTTATCAGATCTTCGGCCGAAGTTCGCGGAAAAATTCACCTTTTCTTGCATTTCATATCTTTTTTTAGTTCTCTAGTTTGGCAACTAAATATTTTCTGTACGTTGAAGGCTTTTCGATATGAAATTAAGGACAAATGCAAATTGGAACGTCTCGATTACCGATGTTTCAAAGCAGTTACAGTAATGCTGATTAAATTATTCGAACTGAACGACTTGAATTGTTTTCAAAAGGGACCAGTTTGCTAGACCATAACTAGAATGCTTCTTTTAAATTTTACTACCGCTTGAAACGACAAGAGAGAATGAAAAACTCATTTTCAAAAAAAAAATGCGTTTTGCAGATCTCGATAAGTTGTATGTACGTTGAAAATACCATCGTAATCGGTTCGATCGCAGTACGGAATTACAATGTTCATCCGGTACACGCTCCAAGCTGCTCTTCTGCGCATGCATCACCTACCCCATTCCTTGCGTAACTTATTCCTCCGTAAACACTGGTTGCGTGTCCTGTCCACGGATAATTATAATAAAGGGAATCGGACCCCGTCGACAAGCTATAACCGTGTGCCGATGAATCCGCGTCAGCCGCGACCGTCGATGAAAACCGATCGGAGAGAGAGCAACGTGTTATTTTCGATTCCGAAAGAAACGCTCGCCCATTGTTGATACCGTTGTCCCGCGACGGGCGGATTCGCCGCAGGGTTTAAAATAAGAACGCGTGTTCTGCGTCACGCGCGGCCAGAAAACTGCCGAATTTTGGCGAATAAGACGTTACTCGTCGGCGGAACTGCCCCGCCGGTTTTCGTAGGTCATATACCTTTGTGTAACCTTCCGCGAACAATGCGCGGTGTCGAATTAACCCCAGCGGTTTTAAAGCTGCAGTATTTCGTTACAAAGTACCGGCCCGGGTTTCTGAAGCTAGCTGAAGTTAAGACGTTGCCGCGACGTCGAAAATGGACAAATCTGCATGCCCTTTGTTGTTAATAATAGATCGCTTATTTTTGGAACGTCAATGTTTGTTTCATCCAGGTCTGTCCTTATTACGAACACGACGAAACACCATCGTCGTAACGTGTGTCCTCATTGAAACCACGATGGTGTGTACAATTAGAATTATTATAATAATTATTAATAATTATTGTCGAATTATTATAATAATTTTTCACCGATAAATCTTGAAATTGAATTTTAAGAATATCATTTGCTATTATACTTTTCAGTGTTAAACAGTCTCGAAGCAACTTTTACATTGTTTCCTGATATTTAAACCAGATAAAAATTGTATTTGTATATTTCTATATTCGAGATAATTGAAAATAGAAATCTATAACTTTTTGCACTGCGCATGGATCAGAGTATCGCTTTTTTTCACCAGATTCCCGATAGACTAGCATAGACTAAGCATTAGACTAAGGTAAATACTCTACACGGTGTAATTAAAAAAAATCTTTAAATCATGCTAAATGTTCCAGGTTTCTCATGGAAAAGGAAGACCTTGATTGACGCCGCGTCCTGGTGCGATGCGGCAAGATCAAAAGAACTTATAGAAATGACTGCGGCAATCCCGTAACTGTTGCAAGTTTCTCCTGGAACTTGTTTCGCGCACGGTGTAGAATCAACAACTTTGTTGACTCAATGGAGACGCTTGCTCGTCGGGATGATGTGTTTGCTTCGGAGCCTTGGACTAAACTAAATGCTACTCTGCAGAATGACTTCGGGGTCTGACCTCGCGCGTCCTACATTTATTTCGCCAATTGATTTTGATTCGCATCAAATACAGGGCAGTCGTCGTTAAATTTTAAAGGATATTTTAATGTGTCGCGGTTGCCGATAACCATGATAAATGACGGAGTTTAGTTTTTGGTTATCGATAACAATGATCAAAACAACAGTTTCAATTACGAACTCTCGTCAAATGACGAGAATGTTAATTCGTTACAGATAACCGCTACAATTGACGAATATAATTTTTGGTTAATAATAATAGTATAATAATAGTAATAATAGTAGTATAATAATAGTAATAATAATAATAATTTTATTTATCAATGGGTTAAACCCTTTGTTACAGAGAGAGAGAGAGAGAGAGAGAGAGAGAGAGAGAGAGTAGTAATAGTAATAGTAATAGTAGTAGTAGTAGTAGTAATAATAATAATAATAATAATAATAATAATAATAATAATAATAATAATGGTAGCAGTCATGCAACAACGGATGAGATAGAAAAATGTAAAACGGAAAAAAGAAAACTTAAATATAAATATTCGTGAGGGACAGAACAAAAAGAGTTTATGGATAATGGTTATGAATAGACTGCGGATTTTTATGCAAAATAAAAATTGTTTTCATTAATAACAAAGTGCAGAAGCTACATAGACATTTATTTATTTTCTTAATCATTCTAATGGAGTCCGCAGTAATACAATAATATTCCCAAATTGTACATATGTGTTTGCTATTTTGCATTTGATCTATCAATTATTATCACGAAATGCATAAAATCCGCGGTCTAGGTATGAATAACGATTACGAATAACTAGAATTATATTTTGGTTACGAATAACCACCGAAGATGTGAAGAAAAATCTCAGCACTGTTACTAATAATATCAATTCATTATAGATTGTATTTTAACACTATGCCGTCCGGTGGCACCACGCTGGGTGCCATGCAAAAACTATCTCTTGTATGCCGGTGGTACCACTTTGGTGCCATTCGAAAAAACTGAAATAACATTTGAACTATATTTCTTGGGTGTTAAAAGGCAGCAAACTAACTATAGCATTGTGCTTATTCAACTAAGAATTAAGTACCAAAATTCTTGGACGACATATGAGCCGTTTATTTTGAAAGTGGCTTAAGTCATTTTTCAAAAACACACCGAGCTAGCTATTTTAATATTCACATTTCTACATTATACATATAATTTCATGTCAGCAAAGCTGAAAGAACGCAGTGACCCTTAGGAACACAAAAACATTATACCACCATGTTATCAATTAGCAATATTTTTAAATTTATTAAAACGTAAAAACCTTAAATATCTGCATTTTCAAATAAATGGACTTAGGCCACTTTCAAAATAAACGGCTCATATCTTAATTTTAGGAATTCATATTACCGCCGTCTTCGACATTTTTTTTTAAATCTAATATTTTCAACCTATTATGCCGGCGTCAAACGAAAGAATCATATCTAAGATCTGCGGACGGCATAGTGTTAAGTATAATTTAGCGCTATCCTATTCGAGAAAAAAACATTTACATTGCAGTGTGTTCGAGTTATCGTGCTCGCTGATGAAAATCGACCGGCAACTTCGGACAAAAGGAAAAGCGAGAAACGGGCGAAACCGATCAGGATGTTTTCCGCGAGAAACGGGACTAGCAACGAAAGAGAGTAAACAAAGTGCCGCACTGTCAACGTAGGAGGATCGCGGGCGACGGGATTTGTGCGGCAGCGATCGTGCAAGCAAGCATCCTTCGCGAGCGGTGTTTTCTTCGGTGTCCTTGGTTCCACATGCACGAATGATGTCAGCGTTCGCGAGCAAGCCGCTTTGGGCGTCTACGAACGAAAATATCCGACGAGATGTGTGCACTTCCTCGAAATCTTAACGGGCCTCGGCGTCGATCTACACACGCTCCTCCGGCCCCGAGATTTCCAGAGAACCCGCGCCGACGGACAGCACACCGCGTCTCCGATCTCCTAAGACCGTGGTAATGGCTCGCTCTTACGTAAGCACGCGGTTCTCAAACGGCGAGCGTACCACGTTTCTTCGCGAAAAATCATTTTCCCGGCAACGTTTAGACGCTTGGACCGTCGGAGCTGCACGCGGAAACCGCTCTCTCTCTCTCTCTCTCTCTCTCTCTCTCTCTCTCTCTTTCTCTGCCTCGCTCGCTCTCTCTCTCTCTCTCTCTCTCTCTCTCTCTCTGCCTCGTTCTCTCTCGCTCTGCCTCGCTCTCTCTGCCTCGCTCTCTCTCTCTCTCTCTCTGCCTCGCTCTCTCTCTCTCTGCCTCGCTCTCTCTCTCTCTCTCTCTCTCTCTCTCTCTCTCTCTCTCTCTCTCTCTCTCTCTCTCTCTGTCTCGCTCTCTGCCTCTCTCACTCTCTCTCTCTCTGTCTCGCTCTCTCTCTCTTTCTCTACAAGCCGAAACTATTTTAGTGCCGCGGGGTGCATCGCGCGTGAAATCCGAACGCGTTGCACGGTGGTCGATTCGAATCCCGGCTTTTGTTCGTCGAGATTTTATTCGCAGTAATATTTCCAATAACCACGCAGATATATCGATTTTTAATGCTCGATGGAATGCGAACCTTTCGACATCGCATTTTGACACTACGGTTAACACCAGATAATCGATCGAAACGACTGGTTTCCGATACTTTCTTTCCCGATGTTATAAATAATTGTTTCGTGGATAATTATTGATAATTAAATTAAATTATGGATAATTAAAATTTGTTAACTTTGACCGCGACGATGACACCGCGAGAAATCATCGTAGGACGATGGTCTTGTTTTCAAATTAAAGCTCGAAACTTCTACTTTAAGATACCGTTACTCGATTTTTAATTCGATGCACATTCGCCACATGCACGATGCACATTGTAACCATTTAAATGTGAGACCATGTTTCTTGTATTGGAAATTACAGAGTTCGTCATATTGAAAATTGCCATGTTTGACAAAATGCACGGACTTCGCAAAATTTTTCCCACAGATGCCGTTTACGGTCGAATGAAGTACCATCCTCCTCCTTTAATGTAAAAAAAAAAAGAGACTTGGCTGTGATATTTTTTCGCTAAGTTACAGCACTTTTAGGTATCCCTTACATTTTTATCATGTACTGCCGGTGATACTACATTTAAAGGGTTGCAGTGGCGAGGATGCGTCGAGTTTAGAATCTAAAAACATTA